CGGCGCGCATGCGCAGCGAGGGTACTGTAGTTGGGTTTTGTCTGTCTGTTTGTCTGTTACTCTACATCTCAACTCTCGAATGTCTGTTCGTCCCAGAAACGATACCATCTACCCAACGGGCGACGAAGGCCAGAAAATAAAAGCGGTTTTTCTCTGAAAATGCTCCGTTGCAAAGCTAGAGCGCGAAAAGCTAATATGCAAATACGCAACGGACGGGATGGCTTACCGCGGTCGTGCTCTGCGTACTTCGGAGGCACTAGAAGATGCAACGCAGGGCGTGTATCGCCTCTCGCATGCTATGTAGTAGTGTAGTTAGCCCGCGTCAGACTCTGCGCGAGCGACAACGCGTAACAGCTAAAATTAAACCCAGCCCATCAATTAGTGGTACGGCGCATGCTTTTACTGACGCGTGCGCGTCACAGTGCGCCGAGGGTTTGCACTTCAGTTTTAGCAGTTCTGACCTGCACATGTGTATGGGTACACACACATGTTTCTAGTGCACCGAGGGTTTGCACTTTAGTGCTTTTCATTTTACCTGTGTAGCATCACAGTGACCATAGTTTGTAACTAAGCGTATGTTCTTCAAGTACACTAATTACCCTGTCATACCTCATGCACATGAGACTGTGTCTTAGAGGTCATGCGCACTCGCAAGTGATTTCGTGGTGAGCATCAACATTATTTTGCGGTGAGAGTTCACAAAAAACTAAAACACTAAAGTTTTATATACAACTTTGTAGAAAAGAGCAGTGAGTTGCATGCACAGTAAAAATGGTATCATCTCTAACTTAGAGAGGGGTCACTGTCATGTTGTTGTCATGCTCTTTGAGAAGTCCGTTGGAATCACAAGATTTATTCTTCATTGTAACTAAAAAATAAAAGTCCCAACATTATCTTGCGGCTGTGTGAACTCTATGTACATTCAGATTTTTTTTCCTATCACGCGTGGTGGAAATCCTGTATAATGTGTGCAGTACACTGGCTACATAATTTTTGCAAACTTACCATCCTTCTTGGTTTCGTCAGCGTTTGTTTCACCTTTGTTTCTGGGAATAGAGAGGGAATTATTACGCAGATTGTAGCTGTTTCGCTAATACATCAGTGTTTTATTGCATGAAACTTCACATAAACTTCCCCTGGAAGGGCACTACGATTGCACTACAATGCAGACTATTATACACTGCGATCACTGACATCATTACCTTAGGTTACATAAGCGTTCCTGAATTTTATCTTTAAAAATGATCCCAAGTGCTACTCCCACGAGTCCTATCACAGCAGTCACCAGCGAAACCACTGTGGCTGCCCCTATCTCTCCCCCACTGAGAGGTCCATCGGGGACACTTCCTTCAACAATGGTCGGTGCACACTCGGGGCTCAGGAGGTCCTTGATGACAACTTCACCCATGCAGCGACTGTCTAAATGGAAGATGATATTGTGGAGCAGGATGGTGCCTCCGGTGGCCACCCATGCCGCTACATAGGCCGTTAGATTGGAGCTGTTGACCTTAGCCAACCCTCGCAGCCTCCCTCTGTATGTCACACTTATTGAATCCATGTCGAAACAATAGAATTCACCATCCAGCAGGCTATTGCTGGTAAAGGAGCAGTTGCATCTTACATTGATGTTGTGCACTATGGCTGATGTCACGTCAGCCACTTTTTCTTCCTTATTCTCCTCCTGGTGGAACAAATGGTAGCTGTAATACATGTAAAGAAAATGGGCCTTACTATCCATGATGGACAATTGCTTAAACCTAACACCTTCACTTGAAAGAGAGTAGCTGTAATTAAAAAAATGAAGAAGAACTATTATTATGCAACAGCACACTCCAAGTAGCTACTTACAATCATCTGCCGTTGTAATATTGACATATGCTGGTGGTCCAGTCCCAGCACTGTTTGTTGCACGAACAGAGCAGCTATAGGTTGTAAAAGGCGAGAATCCCCCAAACATCACTGTCTTTGTCTCAGTCACAAGAGGAAAGGGAGAGAGGGGGATTGGACTGCACGCGATTGTGTGAAATATGATTTTGCCATTTTGGAGGTGTGGCTCAGGGGGTTGCCATGTAAACGAGATATTTCTCGCTCCAATTGCCTCCGCTGTTAGTCCAAGTGGTGGCCCTGTTGGGGCTACATAATACATACAGTGGAACCTCGTTAATACAAACACTGTTACGATGTTCAACTGTACCACTAAAAACTGATAGGGAACGCAACACTGCAACACCCCTTCCGAAATAATGGGGGTAGCTATTGATAACAGCAGCTATGTAGCTAAATTAGTGACACTGTCACAGTGACCAAACTAAGTGAGCATACCAATCTAAATTCCCGATACAAACCACAATAATGGGATACTACAAATATTATACTCTCGGCAGTGGTGGTTTGAGGTGGTTTGACGAGGTTCGATGGATGTGCAATAGCTAATGCATGGATGAAGTGTATACATTAAAATAGCCCTTTTCATACATATGCCTTTACTATGCCTTGCCTCGGGTACTTATCTGTATCATAGTATGCTTACCTGATTCAAGTGTAGAAGCGGTGATAGTAGCAGGGGGTGACATTACGCTGCCCACAGTCACTGCAGTAACTGTACAGAAGTAGAGAACTCCTGGACTCAGGGAGAACAGGCTGGCACTCTGCTCCGTGGTGTTCACAACAGGCGGATCGCCGATTCCCATAACAGTAGGACGACACTTCAAGAGGTAGCCAGCGAGTGTTCCGCGCATGAGGGGGAGCCCCCAACTAAACGAGAGGCTAGTGTGTGTCTTTGCTACTAGACCAAAATCTGCCGGAGGTCCTGCAGTATACACGAAATCATGTCAGAGATCTTCACTTTAACAACTGTAGGGTCTTACCTTCTAATTTTATGTAAAACGCGCTCGTAAGGCTTTGGGTCATGCATGCAAGCATTGTTGGTGACTCAATGTTGAAAGCTTGAATTGCTAGGAACACAGCCAGAACTCCATCGTCCGAAGTCACTCCAGTGGATCTGTTGACTGGCTGACCATTGATGAGCCACTTTAGCACAGGACCTTGACCAGGGCATCGGAAACACGTGGTCCTCGCGATCGAAACAGTCACATTGGAGGATAAGTCGTAAACCTCTTCGCAATTGTCCACGGTGATTTCACCTTGTGATTATGAAGAGACGCATACACTATTGGAAGAGATAGTGTGGTATTTACCAGTGAAGGAGAGCGTGGCTGGTTCACTGTCCACTAGACCATTAGCCCTGCAGTAGTACTGGCCGTACTGGACAGTATGGAGACCCCTTATCACAAGAGAACTGACAACAGCTGTAGAGTTGATCATCTCTTCACTGATATCGCTATTGCCAGTACCAGTGACAACACTCCTGAAGTGAAACCATTGGATGATAGGGGCTGGGTATCCATCAGCCCCACACTGAAGTCTCACATCACTGCCTATTTCCTCTGTAACTGATGCCGGTGACATGAAAAACGTGGCACCAACTGCAATGAATAGAAGGACAATATTATATATATGAGCCTAAAGAATTGGTATAATATGTATGTATGTGACCTATTCATGTTCACTTGCCAATGCTAGTATTCACTCTTTATACCAACTGTGACAAGGGTTATATAGTGGCCATTTGAATGGTTTAGTCACTCACTTGAGGTTATATTGACAGGACCAATCACGTCACTTGGTAGTTGAGCTGACTCTGTAATTACCCAAACACTGTAGTTGGACCCCTCTAATTAGTCCCGATACAATGAGTTCACACTCAGTACAGAGATCAACAGAGACGCTGGTCCTGGTGTCAGAGGTTTCGTAGAGCACGGTGAACCCACTTGCAGTGGGTGTTGGTAATGAGGGGAGACTCCAGGTTATTATGATGCTGGTTCCACTGTTGTCCGTCTGTTCTACCATTAGATTGGTTGCTCCTGTAGCCACTATAGCAGTAATTATTAACTTTCATGCATGTATAAACACTCACATCAGCGTACCTCTAACGTCAATTGTTCTACCACTGAATGTCCCCCATGCTATTGTAGACGGTGCACGTATATTCCCCTCCATTTCTCCCTCGCACCATCAGTACATTGTGATAGACAATGTCAACTGCATTCACAACAATCTGGCTTGAGGAATGGTTAGCATCGTCAACAATCTCCTCCCCCTCTCTTTCCCACACTACACTCGTGACAGGTGAACCCTCACTGATGCACGTCAGTGTGAAGAGAGGTGGGTCTTCTGTCACCTCTGTCTGCAGCTCAAACTCCACTTGGACCGGATTGAAGCTGCCTGCATGCCAATAGTTAGTGCATTATTGACCACACACCCAGAGCAATGGGCAGAGCGAACACTAGTATAATACACATGTACGTAAGAATGGGTGTAGCTATCTCTCTATCAGCCAGAATTACCTCCCAGTTCCCCAGACGAAATCTGAGACTGGGACTGTTTGTCATAGTGTCAACTAAAACATGCCAATTGCGGCACATGTCGTGAAGTGATGCTCCTCCAAACGTAGGGGAGAGACTTCAATATGGGAGGGACACCAGGCAAGTGCAAGGCGATACACACAGCTCTTATATACTATGTCCATCACTGATAAAAAGTTACGAGATGCAATGGCACCTGGATTAGAAGTGTAGAGTCCAATGTAGAACATCTGGAGAGTCCCATGGCGATCGGGCACGACGCACCAGTAGAGAGCAGGGGTACCCCCAGTGATCCTGTTGAGACGGACATACCCGGGGCCCCTGGTAATGTAGAGATCGGTCGCTCCATCTCTTCCTTGGTGGAGTGGAGATCCGTCTGGAGAGAACCAGCCACTGCCCGTGGCGGTCTGCGTCTGATCCGTTGCAGCAGTCGGCGTTCTCAGAGGTGCAGGTTAGCCCGTCACTACCCTCACCCACCTCGTCCCTCATCACCAGGCTGTTGTTGAACAGTAGGGCACCCTTGAACACCAGCCCTGTACCTGTTGGTTTGGGGTTTGCTTCAGTCTACCTAGGGCAGCTCTTTTTCTTTCCTTGGAAAAAAGAGTTGTCCTGGGTGTAGTTTGGGAATATGTCCTCACTTGTTTATTATTATTTAACTGGCACACAATACCAATGTGATTGCAGGGTGTAAGATGGCTGTGGGTGGCTATGATGAAAAAAGTTGTCCTGGGTGTAGTTGACTTGTTTGCCTTTCTACCTCACCTTGTTATTGACACAAGCATGATTATATAGTTCGCCAGAAGTAAGTAATAGAGGCTGGCCTGAGCTCCAAAGGGACAGCAATTTAATATAGCACCTCATTTGCATATCCTCATTGTTTATACCACAAAACAAGGAAGTAATCACACGGTATGTTAACCTCATGACTGCATGGTATGTGTAGGAGTGTTACAGTCAATTAGGCATACGGTTTCATACACAGTAAATATGAATGCATGAAGTCAAAGTTCTCTAAAGACTAAGAAACCACAGTGAACTACATAATATAACAACCAATTTTCATGGACTCTTATAATTTATGCTTTGGCTAATACAACAGCAGAGTTTAGCTCCAAAGGGGCAGCTAATTAGGGTTAATGACCACATCTTGTATTGTACAATCTGCTGCAATAATCATATTATCATGCATTAAGTAAACTAGCTATCACTCATTGCTGTGTACCTACAAACAATTCATGGCAAGAGGAAAATGGAGAGTAAGTATGTTGAGTATTATAGCACGTAGTTTGGAATATGTCCTCACTTGATTATTGGCACACAATACCAATGTGATTGCAGGGTGTAGGATGGCTGTGGGTGGCTATGATGAAAATGGGTGGTGAAAGGCAAGCAAGCGGTGTTAAGTCATTCAAACTGCCATTAGTAAGCAACTCACATGCATCAAGAGAGCATGCTGAACTAACTCAGCCTATTATACCCTTGCTTGAAAATAAGTGAACAGCAGGTATGTACAATGGAAGTATATACATTACTAGGGACCACATAAACAGCAACGTTTGACCAGAACCAAACAATACATGCAGAGCTTGTGCTAACTCTCCTGCTGTATACTGTCTCTTTGCTACAAACTTCACCTGATTCATAAACTACTCCACTCATGATGTCAGCCCAGTATATTGAACTGCTCTGAACTACTGCAAACCTGCACAACCAGACACAGATGACAAGAGCCCTGCATGCAGTGACGTTAGAGTCCTGATATTATAATACTATACTTGCCTGAATCTGATTGGTCCTGTGCCTGCAGATGGTGCAGTCCATGTCCAAGTGCGCAGCGAGGGTTACGGTAGTCGTTCTGTGTGTCTACGACTATTCTCGCACTACAGGCAACGAGGCGGCTTATGAGCGATACCAACAGCTTTAGCGGTACAGGGGCTAGAAAAATAAAATGGCGATTTTGCTGAAACGACTGCGTTCGAGAGCGACAAAACTGACACGGTTCGCGCACAGCGTTGCGTGGCCCAACCCATCAATAAGCGCGTGCGCATGCGTGTATTATACGCGATAAACGCAGTATGCTGGCTCCCTCGACCTGATCCGCTTGCTCTGTGTACCTTGGAGGCACAAGAAGCCACAGCGAAGGGTGTGTATCGACTCCCGCATGCTATCTACTACTGTAGCTAGCCAGTGTCAGACACTCCGCAAGCTACAAGCGGGAGACTGCGAGTAAACGCCAATAGCCCAGCATGCGCAGTTCGCCGAGGGTTTGCACTTTAGTGCTTTTCATTACCAAAGCTACAATACAGAGAGACTTTGATGTTAAAATGAATACCAGAGGGTGGGCCAAATGGGCATTTAATTCATGTTTGCCCACAGAGCAAGCTACGTTGCTTTGCTCGTTTGCAACTGCTCTATATACCTCCTCCGCTCGTCTTGTAGAGTACAGTATACTGCTGCAAAGCTGCCTCCACGTGTTCAATGTGTGCATGCATCACATGGTCTAATACCTTCATGTGATGTGAATAAATGTTCTTTACTGTTGTGCATACATTCTAACAGGTTGGGGAGCACTTGCATGCTCCTTTCATTATCAACAACCGAAATTTCGAGAGATGCAACATTGTATTCTGCCTTATTATTAGGCCTTTAATCCACACATGCGCCACATAATGTGGTACAAACTGTACACCCCATGTGGATCTGTTTAAATAAGCACACATTAGTATAACCTCGATATGAATTCTTATAGACTTATGGAGGCTCTGGACGGACACATTCATGTGTCCGTGGCTGGTAAAGTGTTAATACTGAACTATAATAGCATGTTTATGCCGACTATATATGACATGTAGCGAGTACTTTTCCACCTACTCCAGGTTATTACTTGTATACCTATGCTACAGATATAACCTGAGATTGTGTGTGTGTGTGTGTGTGTGTGTGCGTATTTACACACGCACCTACACATACTCTAAACTCCTGATATGGGTCACTCTAATGCTGCAAGTGTAATTGCCAGGAATCACCAATGAGTTTCAAACCCACAATAAACGAATGCAATGTTCTTTTGGTTTGCAAATGCAGGTGCAAATATCAGCTGATTTACGAGTTACGTTACTGCATTGAAGCGTCTGACCATCGGATAGTGAGTAAAATCAAGCAATTTGGACGACTTTGTAGCTAGGTTCGCTTCGGTCGCTTATCTTAGCACCTGAGGTAGTTTACTGAGATTGAGTTTCGGTCCTTTTCCTCTCTTACCCCTTCTGATAAGGAGGCCTCTTGCCGAAATGTTGTTTGACGGGTACACACAAACCAATGCGTGGAATAATTATAACTAATTGCAGTGAAACCTTGTTAGAGTGAACATGCTTAGAATGAAATTTGGGTTACTATGAACAGTTGCAAAATCCCCTGCCAAGCCTCCATCGTAAGCTATTGTTGGGTGCTCTGTTTAGGGTTAGCGTGAAACCACCGTTAACCCTTAGCCAGCCACAGGCATATATATGCCCAAAGTCTCCATAACTCCTTAAGAATTTATATAGGGCTATAATACTAGGCGTTAACATCAATTTCTGCTTATTTAAGGATATACCCATGTGAACCACTTTTGTGGTCCATAGAGTGCACTGAGTGGGTTTCTACAAGCTGAACACACGTAGGTTTTAGTGCAAATGAGGCCACACATAGTAAAGCTAGCTGCAGTCACCAGCCCATAACCCTGGCCAAGAAGTTGGAGTTAATAATAAGGTTGTTTAAAGTGGGAAGAAAGCTAAGTCAGCAATAGGTGTTTAATGCAGTGTTTCTACAGGTTCTAAAGATACTTGAGTCCTTGTTTTAGGAAAGGAAGCAATATTGCTCTCATTGCTAGGCTTGAAAATACCCTTCCTAATAATGTTGTATATCATGCACATGTAACAATAGACCATGTGATGCCAAGAGAAAAAAGATGGGGAGCTCTGGACAGCTGTTTCGGGCTTTTAGCCCTCATCAGCAAAGCATACACTTGTGGTTTTGAACTAATGACATTCATCCCCACAAGGCTTTGCTCAGGCGCAGCGCTTGTGGTTCTGAACTCATCCCCACAAGGCGTTGCCAGTACCAAAACCCGAATTCAGGTATATACGGTTTATTTTTCTGTGTAAATATGACAATTCCTTTTAGTATGAAACTCCTGTTAGTACGAAATTTTGAGGCAGTCCCCTTGAGTTCACTTTAATGAGGTTCCACTGTAGCCAGATATGTAGTGGACTATTATGTGCGTTAGTTAACGTATAGGCGGCGAGGCGGCACAGGATATATATACTCCGAGGCTGTTGGCTATACCTGCCCTCATCCGGTATAGTCAACAGCCTGGAGTATATCCCATACACGGGCGAGACACCTGATGTTAACTGATTTGTAGTCCAACTAGCCAATCACGATGCTGAATTTCTGCTGCATCATCCTACTAATGTACTAATGATTGTTGTGTAAACTTTGTAGGCCAGACAATTTGCACTACGCCTAGCGCTAGATGTTGTGATCCCGATATTGGTCAGCGCACAGCTCAGAATACAGCGTATATTCCAAGCGCCAGATTGTTTGAAGTTGGACTACAAATAGAATTATCAAAACTGCACAAACTATAATTATAGTGTACATTTCTATGCTAAAGGTCTATGCATATTACTACACTCTACTTTTCTTCTCTATTTTAATTTTTCTTTGGCCTGTCTTGGACTTATTTCATCTTCAACCCCAGAAAGTACTTCCTCATCACTGTTCTCATCAGGAGCAATGTCGGTTGGCCACACTTTTGGTTTCTCTTCATCATCCGATTCTGTGGCGTCTGCTGGCCCAGTTTGCTGCATGCTTTCTATTGTTTCTATGCTCTCTTGTAACTCCTTAGATATTGATATATTCACACTTTCAAGACTTTTAAGCTTCTCCTCTCCCTCTCTCCATTTCGCTTCTTTCTTGGTATTGTGGACAAGGCTTCCAATTTGCCGGATATGATCCTGCACTTTAACAATTAACACAATTTCACGTTCACTCACTTGAGGCAAGATATTTATGTACTTGATCTCGCTTTCCCATTTCTCAATTTGTTTGGAAATTTTTTCTGATAGATTAGTAAAATTTGTGTATTCATCCATCTTTGACTTGTGGTCTCTATTCTCAATGTGTTTCAAGCGGACAGTTTTTCCACCCACTCTTTCTAATGTCGTCTTGCAGACTCTACAAAAATCATCATCCACCAGTGTGTCATCAATGGATACTTGTTGCTGTACCATCTCTACTGTTTGTTTGTCTTGAAGGGTAAGAGCTCTCATAATGTCTTCATCAAATTCCTCTTCATTGCTTACTTGCTTTTCTAGGTCAGTTTCTGGTTCAACTTTATCATCACTTTTAACAGTACTCGGAGAGTCTATTGCTGTTAGCTTCTCAGTATCTTCTTTCTCTACTGCTAAATGAGGGTCTCCTGTGTTTGTTATCAGAGGAATTACGGACTTTATTGGCACTCTTGGAAGTGGACATGGCATGAGATTCATCTTTGTTGAAGAATTTGAAGGTTGAATAGGTAATTTCGTTTCTCACCCCTGTAGTATTGCACATTTAGCCTTTCTACTATATCGAAAATATCTTTAGCACTTGTGCAACATTGTAAAGCCTCACAAATACCCTTGAGGTGGTGATCAGTCCGTTCCGTCAGAGGCTGGAGGGATCTTTGTATCCTTTTCTGGTATACTACCAAATCTGATGGTTTGTGACGGCTGGAAATTGCCAAGTTACCCAACAGTGTCAGTCCTAAAGTCAAGCAAGTGACGACATTGTTGTGTTCTTCATTTTTAACAGCTTGATAAAGGACATTAAACCCATTACGATAAAGTCCAGTGAACACCTGGAAAACACGTTCCATTCCTTTTTGTGCATCAGCTCTCAATGTTATAACATGCACAGGGTTTACGATTATTGGCAATTATCTTGAACGTGTCAAAGCATGACTGAAAGAGTGCGGAATCTGTCTCTTTGAAGCAGTTTTTCTGATCAAAATATGTCATTGTGTCAATAAGCATCTGGGGAATATAACTGTTGCTTGTTGCGGTGAACTGAGGATGTGAAAAGCATAGTACATCATAGCACAAATGCTGAGCATTGTAACCACATTCGTGACACAAACTATATTTCGATTCAGACTTATTCTCCTTGCAATTACTTCAATGTACATCATTAGCATTTTAACAGCAATACGTGCCTTAGATCCTTCCCTAAGCAGCTGACAGAACGTAATCCACTGACCAAAATGGGGCACCTTGTGTTTTATTCCATCAATATCAGAACTTGGTACATAAAAATGAATCTCAGAGGCACTCAGCTTATGAACGCGAACAGGTCGCACTCGCCGGGACACTGCAAAGTAATTTTGTTTTAAAGATTGTGAAAGAATCCACGCTTCCATCCAGTCATCCAAGCTAAGACCATCTACAGGTGCTCTTATAAATTTATCTAGTCGATCTTCAAGGATTTTTAGGGCACTTGGAAAACGCTTTATAACATCATAATGCTTCATGTTCAGAGTCAGACCATTGTACCTTATGAGATTGTAAAAATGCCTTTTCCATTCTTCAAGGCTACCACATTCATTGTTGTGGCAAATGATTTCTAGACCCATTGAGTATGCCTTTATGTAACACAACAGCTTTAATGGGTCATTATTAGCAAAGGGGCGTTCTGTAAAGTTGTGATGAAACGTATATCGTACCATTTCATTTTGAATTACATTCCAGCATTCCTTGTTGCCTTTTAGCAACTTAACGTTTAATTTAAGATGATCTGAAACAGCTCTACCAAGTTCATGAGCACGTTGGTGCAGTTCTGTGGGGCTGCCTTCTTGCCATGGCTCCATAATACTCCAAACGTCTTGATGGAGCTGGAAAACATACTGGTCCCTTTCCTTGACGACACTATAGAGTTCTTCAACTTGTTCCATGATGTGGGAAACGAATGCTGTATTTCTTTCTTTCTCCGTTAGGTATAAACATATGTTATTGATTTCAATACACACATTGAGTATTGTTTCTACCAATTGCATATCCTTCTCTACTTTAGGGAAAAGAAGAACAAGTGCCTCACATGCACCCAGTGTATATTTATCTTCTCGGAAGAGCTTCAAGGCCGCATGGCAGTATGAAATGTCTCCAGTTATCTTACAGTGGAGAAGATTAGCTATTCCTATAGCAGTAGGGGCAACTTTATCACTCTGGCACATACTCTCCAGTTCCAGTTGAAGATTAGGTAATTCAGTGTGGGGAGTGGGACAGGAACTCAGTTTGAACTTGGCCGCAGAAAGTATAACCTTCTGCTGTTTCTTGACATTATTTCCCTGTTTGGCTAGATCGAATGCCTCTTTGTACATGGCATGTTTTAGCATTAGCTCATATGCATTATCCACTTTCCCAAGCTCTTTTAGCACCACAACAGCCTTGTCGTAGGCTCCCACTTGTTCAAGGTATTTGACTTGTAGTTCTGGAGAAATGACATTTATAATGGTCAGTAATCTTTCTTTCCCTTTTGGACCCTTTGCCAAGTGTATCATAACTTGTTGCTTCCCATATTTGATTAGAGACTTGTCAATATCACTGCGCAAGACACACTTTTGACCAATGTACTTACTTGCAAGTTGCAGGGCCCTAAATTTTTCAAAACAAAATGCAACAGAGACAGCTTCTCCATACCTTTCTTGCCTCTCCATTATTGCAAAAACGTCTTCGAATTTCTTTGAATGCATGCAGCATTTAATGGCATCATCAAACTATTGGGAAAGAGAAAATGATGGGGTTAGTCTATTATTGTACATGCAATGATAATTATCTAACCTTTTTCATTTTTCCGTAGAGCCACCCTGCATCTTCATATCACTTTCCATTATAAAGACATTTTGCCGCATGATGAAGTAATCCTGGTGCGTGCTCAATTCTATCACAATTGAGGAATGCAGTAGCAGCTGCTAAGTATCTCTGCCGTTTTTCTGCTTTGTCTTTGGAGTTTCTGGCATCGTGATAAAACCTCAATGCCTCGCATTCTCTTACTTTTTGTGGGCACATGGCTTTCTCAAAACACTTTGTAGCTACATCCCACAGCTTGTGCTGCATAAATTCGTCTCCCCTTTCCCTCCAGTCTTCTGGAGATGACCTTGATTCTGGGTCACCGGTTTCAAAGATTTGGTCCACCATCAATTCCTCCACAAGACTGTTTTTCTTCCAGTACCACGTGGCAGGTCGGTGGTCGTCACTCGATTCATATAGCCAGAGCCTGGCCTTGGCTCTGGTGATGGCTGTGTACAGGTGTTTGAGCTCTGAACAGAGGAGTTTGTGCTTTTCCTCTTGAAACACGAGGTAGTGAGGCTTTTCGCAGTCAACTTCAGCACTTTTAGGGACTATAACGCGCCATTCTTCTTTGAGCTGAAGTGAAAAGAAAATTGTGTAATCATTTTAGGTAACTAGACATGCATTATGCTTTTTACCTTTGAATCTGTAAAAAAATTGTATAGCAATACATCATCAAACTCCAATCCTTTTGATTCAAAGATGGTTAGAGCAATGGCAGCTTTGAGCTCTCTTGGGAGGTTCTCCTTTGCTTCTTGGGTTCGAACTAGTATTGCTTGGTGAGCCCCAAAGTCAATCATTGTCCCTGTCTGCTTTTTTCCAGCTAGGGCCACAGCAAGTTCAGTAGGTGAACATGTACGTAACAAAACAGGCTTTGGCCCGCTTACTAAACCTTGCTCTTGTAGTGTATGGTCATGATCAAACGAATAAGGGAAGTACTTTTTCAGCAATTCTGTAACACTTGACGCTAGTCTTAGGATACCTGAGTGGGTCCTAAAATTTATAGTTAGATGCTGTACTTCTGGCACTTTTACTTTTCGATGGTAAAAGAGGGATTTAACGTCTTCAAAGCGAAAAGCAATGCCACTCATTATGCTCTGTGCGGTATCTCCAGTGAGAAAGAGGCGGTTTGGGTCTCTGCAATTGCAAAGCATAAGCCAGAGTTCTCCCTGAGTGAAATCTTGGACCTCATCAATATAAAGGCTATGTACCACCCATTTTAGTTTATCTATCTTCGGAAGTCTCTTGCACACATGATGAATGAGGTCACATTCATCAAAGAGACATTCATTTGGGTGATTTTGAACATATGCCTTGTAGGATTCAAACAATTCGTATACTCTTTCTCTGTTACCAGTGAAGTTGGGAGCCACCTTTCTACCAAGCTTTTTATACTCTTTTCCATTAAGATGACCATTTTTGGACTCAATTGCCTTAAGGGAACCCTTAATATAGGATTTAATTTCCATCCACACAAGCAGAGATGACATTGTATCATTGACTCCTTTTATTTTTGGCCAAATGTGGCTGTTGAAATATGAGGCAGTCACCTCTCTTCTTTCTCTCATAATAGTCGTTTTATGACTGGTTGGATATAGCATGACAGGCTCTTCATCCACGTCATCCTCTAGGTCAAACAGTGTATCTGACAATGTATCTTCATGGTCATAGTCAGTGCTCACTATTCTTTCAATCATATTTCCTTCTTCGTCTCTCTTGAAAAAGTACTTATCGTCCTTCAGTGAATAATCAAGCAAAATGTAAAACTGTCGTGCAGTGAGGAATAATGGGTAAGATAAGTCATGTATATCTGTTACGTCGTTGGGCAAACCTTCTAGCTTTTTTTTAGTGTGGTGTTTAGCAATTTCTTCTGAATCTGAAAACTTGGAAAATTGTTTTCGCAATCTGCTGCACAAGACATAGTTCTTGGTGACAAACACCTGATGTAATGGACAATCTGATTCGGGATGTGTGCAGTCTTCAGAGCTTTCACTGTTGACAACAGGGGAACAAACATCATCGCCTTGCAATAAATGGGGTTGTGGGGAGTTAGCTCCATCCTCTCTCCCAATTTTCATTTCTGGTTGAGATAGTTCTTCTGCCCTGCTGGGAAACTTTCTCCAGTAAGTTACGTATTCATTCCACATTCGATATAAGCAGCAAGTGGTCTTTCCTGTCCCACTTCTTCCTAGGAGTAATACTGCCTTGGTGTATGGCAAATTGATGATGTCATGCTCTGCTGGCCATTCTTTGTAGGGAAATGATCTCTCAATGTCTCCATCTTCAAGCATGAGTTTAACCACACAGTTAGAGAGGCTATAGAGGTGGGCAATGCAGAAAGAGTAGTTATCTGGGTTCATGGGTGGACTATACATTACCACATCGTTACCCTGATTCACTGCCATACTATCGTGACAAGGCAGAAATATCCGTGGCTCCCTTCTATTCCTGTGTACATTCGATTCAGCTGGAGAGGTACTCATTAATTTCACTTTCAATCTTTCAGGGACTTGACATGCCCTCTCGTGAATATTCTTTTCGATTACTTGCACATGGTGATGAATGTCATCGTGGTCAAGAACAATGTCCCACACTCGGATTATTTCTCGGTATCTTTTCTTTATGTCAGCTTCTCCGGGCAATTGGTAGAGCTGAGGTACTATTTGCCAGATTGCCCTGTCTTTTTTATTTAAACGTGTCTCATAAAGCTCAATGCCCTTGATGCTTGAAACTGGCTTACAATGTTTTTCATTATTCACGAAGTCACCTTGTGACAGAATCGTCATTTTTGCAAGAAATATCTTTTTGATATGGTTGTTCTTTTTCCCTGACAATGTCTTCATTACTTTCTTACTACACTCAATCTCCCATGATCTACTGTCAAAACCGTCGCCTTGTTCTTCAGATTCAACTTCTGGCAGATGATCCTTTTCATCACCTTGTTTTGGTAATGTATCTTTGTGGGAGTTTTCATTTGGCAGTGATTTCTCCTGAGCTAAACCTTGTTGGGGCATAGGTGGGACTTCATTGGAAGCATCAACATGGTGCACTTCAGTTTGTTTGGAGTCTTTGGACACCAAGTAGAAATATTCATCTTCACGTTGGTGAAGTTCATGAAGAAACAATCGAAGATCTTCCTTCACTTCGTTTTCCAAAGTATTTAGGCCTGTTCCGATATCTGAATGATCTCTGTCACTTACCTTTTCTCCCTCTTGATCATGCCATGGGTCCGATGATGTCGCACTGTTATCTTCTGCAGTGTCATGATGTCCCCCAGAATTAGTTGTCTCGGATTCCTGCTTCACTATAATCATGCTTTTCACTCCCTCAGGCCTAACAAGAACGTCTATTTCACTTTTTTGGAGTCTGTCTAGTGTGTCACTGCTTACCTCATTTTCTTCCTCATATTTTTTATCTCTAGATGGCTCTAATGCAGGTAAACTTTCAACACTTCCAACTATGTTATCTCCTTTTTGTTCACTTCCATCTTCTTGGTTTTTCTCTACTCCTACTTCTGACAAGGCCTTGACGGCACCATGCGTATCTTCATTAATCTCTCTCTTTGTTTCTTGTTTCTCAGTTTCCTGTAACCCATCTGCCTTAGGCCAGGCTTCACTTTTTTCCAAAAACACCTGGCACATCCTCATTTTCTTCCACTTTTCTTTCTTGGTTTTCACATGCTCTAGCCTCATCTACCTGAGTGCTCTTCTTCTTCTTTCTTCTCTTCTTCTTTACTTTTTTCACTTCACCTGTTGCACCTTCTTTACTTTCCTCACCTATCAATTCAGCTTCCCTTTCTCTTAATATTATAACTCTTTCATCATCAACTTTCATTCGATAATCTGCTCCCCTACCATTGTTATCCTTCTTACTAGGGTGAATAGTATACTTCCTTAGTACCTTACAAACTTCAATTCCAATCTTGCGCTTTCCAGCCAGAGCTAGATGCCATGGTGTTCGCCCTTCCATGTCACACACTTTGACATCATTTTGAAACTCAAACTTACTACAAACCAAATCTAGTGTATCTACGCTTCCATTTTCGCCAAGTACAAATCTCACAACCTCATGTATGACTGTTGTATTAGGAAGACAAAATGTTACGTCAGCTCCATTTTCCACAAGTAATTTTATCATCTCTAGCTTCATGCTTATTTGCTCATGGTGCTTTTCGAGGACAATTTTTACAGGGACTCTATCACCTTTCTGCAGATTAGCACCTCGCTCAAACAGCTTTTGGAGCCAGTGTAGTTTATAGCATAGATCCGATTCCTCTAGAAGAAGTGGGATGTTTATTGGCACCCCTTCAAAGCAAAAATTATCTAAAAAGAGCTCAACAAGTTGTGATCTACCTTCCATCATGGCTATGCGAACAAGTTCCGCTGTCATATCCATTACTGCTTGTCCACATTTTGAATCTTGTTTTAGATACTCTGAGTGGCTTACAATGGCAAATATCATTGAATTTGTTTCTTGTAGGTTTTGAGACAAATCAATTGCTTTGATAACTGCTGTCAAGGAAATATGAACTTTAAAGACGAGTTGGAAAAGAGGTATCAAGTGAATATTTTGGTCTTTGATCACTTCTTTGGGTAACGTTTCTGCCCAATCTTTAAATTTAAGCTTTTGAGAGATATACTGCACGTGCTCCTTGGTGACAGAAATTCCTGATATTCGTAGCTCTGCAAGTGCATATGAGTAGGTAGTATAGAATATGAGCCCACCCACATGTGTTGTATACACATGTATAGTGACAGAATGTAGAGGGAATTTGTGTACCCCGCATGTAGCTATATGCCATTTGAGGTTTGCCTTTGCCTTGTGTTGTATTGTGTCACCAAGACTAACCCAACCCATAAGCCCAGCCCCTTTTACACAACACTTTATGTAATGGCGAGCGGGAGCGAGCCAACATAGTCGTTCGTTCGAGCGGATCTTCTCTGTGTATATGCGTTCGTACGTCGTGTAAGTGCGCATGCGCGTTTTTGTACGCGCTTCTTTTTATCCGAAATTATTTCAAACTCTCCTCCATTCGACGGTGACTGACCGCGAAGCTGTATATACCTCTTCCCAATCTTCATGGTTCCAAGCTGCAACTTGCATAATACGCTAGGGCAACATACTGCTGCATGCCAGTTGTAAGGTGGACCACGACTGACGAGCTGAAAGCATAAGGTAAGTACCGTTCTGCTCACCGGGACCGGATTTGCGTTGGTGGATAGCAGTCTCTTCTCTCTGACTTGCCTGACTCTGTTCTCTGACTTGCCTGGTACCCAGGCATGCCCGTGTGCTGCCGCTATAATGGCA